TGCAATAAATACACGGAATTGAGACAAAAATCATATTTCTATTTTAAGGGGTTTAGTATCAACACTGTACTATTGGGATGTACATCCCTCACTAGCAATGATCTACACAAATTATCAAAATCTATTCATGATTACATAATAAGATCTGATCGATTTGATGTTTCATAAATACTTTGATTTTGACGGCTAAACAAACGAATCGATATTCATGCATTATCCCTATCTTGATTGCTGGTAAGACTTGTAACAATGTGTCATCTGTTTCTGTATTTACTTCTACATGTATTTGTTTATGGGAGCGGCCTTCAAATAAGCTCCTCGGAGCTTGTTGGCCAATCCATTCATAATTTCATGAATAAAAATGTTTAAACCAAGAGTAAACGTACTTTTCAAAGGGTAAACAAACAATATCCTGTTATTTTTGGATATGCCATGAAGAACTTCAAAATGTAATTAACATTAAAATATTGAAAGCTGTTGCTCGTAAAATATGTCCTTGCGTCAACAGTGAAAATAACTCCATAATGAAAAACAATTAACTTTAATATTCAAAACAAACACAAATAATCTCTGGTAGTTTTAAGACGTGTCACAAATAATTTCACAGCTGTTACAATTAACATGAAATTATAGAAACCAATAGCTAACAAAACTTTGAAAATCCGTAACGTAAAGGTCTTTGTCACAAACACAGCTATTACTTCCGCCACATGTCAATATCTGAATATCGCAATAATCCTCTGCGTGACCCTGTAAATTATCTAAACGTTACCGAAACTGTAATCGGATGCCTTGATACAAAAAGCGAACAAATTCCATCCATTAGTTTGGGGGATATCGCAAGAATACTCGCTGTGACCTTGAAAATTATCCGAAGATCACTGAATTCGACTGGCGTTAGACGATACTCCCAACACATTTTCCTAACATACTTTTAAGCAGAATATATTAATTCTTTCTTGTGTTTTCGCACTTAAACGTTAGACATGTGCAAAACAATACAATTTTCGCTGTAAACTCAAAATGAGCACAAGTTCCCCAATCAACTGGTGTAGGGGGAATCCCGCCAATACCCCTTGATATAAAATTGGATCAAAATCTATTAATTCTTTCTTGAGTTATCGCGCTAACAATCTTTATATTGGAAAAACCCTAAGATTTTTGCTGTGACCTTGCAAATTATCTCAAGGTCACTAAATTCAACTGGTGTCGGTGAATCTGGCCACGACGCCTTGGTACCAAATTTAAACAAAATCCATCATTTCTTTCTTGAGTTAACGCACTAACAATCTTTATATTGGCAAATCCCTAAGATTTTTTCTGTGGCCTTGCAAATTATCCCAAGAGCACTCAATTCAACTGGTGTCTGTGAATCTCGCCGCGACACCTTGGTACCAAATTTAAACAAAATCCATCATTTCTTTCTTGAGTTATCGCCCTCACAAGCTTATATGATGTTTGAAATGCAATGAAAAACGAACACACGCGTATTTACGAACGATTAAAAATGTCATTACAATTTACGTTTAAAATATTTATTACATTTTACCGTAACTAAAATTATTACAATTTACGTCAATTTTTATTACAATTTCCGTTTTTATTACAATTTACGTCAAGGGTTATTACAATTTGCTGCAAGTATTACAATTTAAGTTTTTACTACAATTACGTCGTAACAACCATCTTTGACGGAATCACGCTTACAAAATTTCGTTGCTCCTCCCATGATTTGTTAAGAGAAACAGGTAGATATATTGGAATAAAGAATGAAGATAGAATATGTAAAATGTGTGATTTGCATCTAAGTGAAGATGAATATCATTTTCTTTGTGTCTGTCAAGCCTACCACACTTTATGAAATAAGTATATTAAGAAATATTACTTTGTACATCATAATATTTATAAATTTATATCTCTATTAGCCTATTCTAGCAAGTTGTTTCTGTACCGTGCCTTTCTACACAGGAGAAATGTACGCTCTACTGCCTAATAATAACATAGTCTGTATACATGTACTATAGGCCTGTGGCCTCTTAAGTGCAAATAAAGACTATCGAACTTCAGACCAGGGTGCAGAGCTTTCCTGAAGTTGGTGTCTTTTTTGGTAAGTCTGGGAGACAGGGAATTAAGCAGTTCATCAAACATATCAGGAGGCATTCACAGAGAGTTGAAGAAAGAAGACGTGTCTTCGAATCTGAGTTCCGATAGGAGATTGTCATAGTTTCCAGAGTGCAATCTTCCTTCCAACCTCAACCACGTACGTACCCAAATCCGTTTCTGTTTTCTTCTTCTTGGTGCCTGCATGGTTCCTTCTGTATTCATAGATATCTATCTCCAATCCCATATGTTGTTGCCGCAGAAGATGTAGTTGTGCAGCTGTGAGCATGTTGCTAGATAATAAGAATCGGCTGTCATCGTCAGCTTTTATAGCCCAGAACTGGGACCATTTTGTCGTTTGGAGGCCGATTTTACGTGTCTTACTCGGCAGTTATACGTTCTTTACTCGGCATGTAATCGTCAATTACGGCAATGAGACTTCGATATCGTAAGCCTTACATCACTGTGTCGGCGAATATCGTAGATCGTAGATATATCTCCGCAGAAACGTGATTTAAACGTAGCCAATCGGCCAATACTGGGTGAAATCGTATCACCAACGAGTGCTCAATCTCAGTGTTATCGACATTTATACGTAAGTCTACAGTCTCTTCATCGTCCATTACGTAGGTTTACCGTAGATGCTGCGTAGAAAAGGAAAATATAAACAAAAACTGGCCGATTGAGAACGATAACATCGTAGGTGACGAATCGGCACTAGTCGGGGTAGTCTTGATAGGTCGTAGCCAAGTGAAATGGGGGCATACCGCCAACGCACGCACTCACACTCACACAGAGAAAAAAAGGGATTTTACAATTGCTTCGTTTGGTTACGATAGCTTCAGTAGTTACTTCAAGAACCTTTCAGGTACAATCGATGATGTTCTTACTATGAAGATGTCGCCATAGATGGTCACTTGAATGTCAAGGTCATCTATGGCTGACAAGTGAGTATGATTGCCAATGATTTTGGAGAAAATGCCAGCTTACTGTCGAGGAAATGATATGTAGATGTTGCAAAAAAAATTTAGACCCGTGGATTACCGCTGCCGATAAAATCTAGTCCTACATAGGTACTGTCAACGTGCCTCGAATCAATAAACGAATTTAAAAGGTGAGTTTACGCTGTCTTGGCTGATCTATGATTTTGGCGGAGGTAGCTGTTTTCGGTGAGCTGTGGCGTATAACGTTTGAAATAATGATCCGATTGTGACCATATATAGCTCATTTTGTAGGGAAATCATCTCGCTTTCGATCCGTAGGCTTCGACGCGGCCTTACAAATATCTTACGTGGTGAAATCTAGCTTTGATTGAGGAGGGAGCGGTTTCGTCGTTACATCCTTTTCCTTGTATATAGCACTAGGGTATGGTCTATATACCTATATGTCTTTCTAAACGCTGTCTTTAAGCGCGACACGCCCCTGTGTCCGTCTGGACGTACAGTAAACCACGACTGACTGACTGAGTTTGGTTTTACGCCGCTTTTAGCAATATTCCAGCAACATCACGGCGGGGGACACAAGAAATGGGCTTCACACATTGTAACTATGTGGGGATTCGAACCCGGGTCTTCGGCGTGACGAGCCAACGCTTTAACCACTAGGCTACCCCACCGCCCCCAGTAAACCACGGTTAAAACGAACTAAAATTAGTGGTCCCTTTGAGTTCGATGTAACCGTAGTTTACTGCACATCGACTTTCAACTCGTAGTGCAATGCAGATTAAAATACCACAAGTAGATGCTTACTGTCAACACATGCCCTTTGCTCGTCTGGTGTCGCCTCCATGTATATTATGCTATGTATAAAGTGTGCTCACTAATTTATACAGACTTCAGGTCACGGTGTGACCAGATATACCTTGAAAGAGACTATAACTTATCTCCCTATTGTTTTACGGGTGTCTGCATTTTGTTGGTTTAAGAAAAGTGGGCACAGTGGGGGTACACATATATTTAGTATAGTGCAGTCAGACACATAAATAACTGGTAAACTGGTGACGACATTTGACAACTGCCTGACACATAAAGGTTATAACGCATGATAACCTCTCTTATCATGTAATGTCAGCTTAAACTCTGTCGTCAAAAACACTTCTCGCCTCGGGGCGGTGGGGTAGCCCAGTGGTTAAAGCATTTGCTTGTCACGCGGAAGACCCAGGTTCGTTTCTCCACATGGGTACAATGTGTGAAATCTGGTGTCCCCCGTCGTGATATTGCTGGAATATTGCTAAAAGCGGCGTAAAACCAAACTCACTCAGTCAGTCGTGGTTTACTGTACGTCCAGACGGACACAGGGACGTGTCGCTCAATCACTCACTGACTCACTTCTCGTCTCATATAAACATTACCGAAACAGTGCAGCTTTTCCTGAATGTGCACAATTATTTACGTTTTGTGATACTGTCGGCGATGAGTCAGAGACAACTGTCAATAAAGCTAGAACTGAAACCTGTTTTTTAGACAACGAACACGAAAAAGCTGTTGCTCATACACATTGATTCCACGTGGCAATATTTGTTTATGTTTAGCTTCTACCGGTCCTTTCTGGCTGCACAGTTCAGTTTCAGCTGTACATATCTCGAGTGAGGGGCAGTGGGGTAGCCTAGTGGTTAAAGCGTTCGCTCGTCACGCTGAAGACCCGGGTTCGATTCCTCACATGGGTACAATGTGCAAAGCCCATTTCTGGTGTCCCCCGCCGTAATATTGCTGGAATATTTCTAAAAGCGGCGTAAGACCCGCTTACCCACTCATTCCAAGAAAAGATTCAAGACATGCATGTTGTACATCATTGTCAAGTCTCATACAATAATTTTCGGCAGGACTACAAGAATTCACTCAAGAAATGCATGGTACACAATACGGTCAAGCAGATACACTAACGTTACATATAAATACAAAAATTATATCATATTTTAATAATCCGTGGTCCCGATCTGGTAGAAACACATATCCAATCCCTAACGATGCCGGCGTTTCCCTACTGGTAATATAACATAAAAGCCGTTGCTTGAACACCATGAATATTCATAACGAAATGAACTGTTGCAGCATGGTATCTATGTTGTGTCCGTGAAAGACTTAAATACCATGAGAAGTCATTACATACTGTTCGCCATTCCCATCACCCAATGTGACATTCGTGATGCACATCTCGACTTTTTCTATACTATCTCTTAAATGTGTATGCTTTGGAAAGAGTGTCTTCTTTGCGGTCTAATGGAATCGGGGGGTATGGATAATCCATTTGTCCATTGCCGTTTTACAGTTGACTATGATAGTTATAGTTCGTAAGTTGTCCATTCACCGGTCGCCATTCCAGTGGACCACTCAATAACAGTAAATGCTGAAAGACCTGATTCCTCTTCTTTCATCGCACCAACGGCTCTTGAAACATAAAGTTCCATTACTCATAACTCCGTAACAATACCTCTCTGATAAACTCATATTGCCTTGTCCAGTAGAATTGGACCTTGTTATCAGAGGCTGACGTAGCCAGTCCGTGTTTTACCCTCATAGATGAACAGCACCCCAGCACCAATGCAGTTCAGAGCACCGATCACTTCGAAAGCAAATCCCCAGTTGAGGTCTTCGTTCGGGTCATGCCGCGCCCCAAATATTATGAGTCCAATAAGTGTGGAGAGAGCTGTTAAAAAGGAGCAAACATATTCAATAACCACACAGCAGTCTCTGCTAGGGCAGTCAACTGAAAGTTTTCAATTACATCATGAACATGTGTTTATGAATCACAATCAGATAGTGATGAAAACAGGTGTTCGCAAAAAGGTGAAAACAATGACGTTTCAATTTGTATAACGTTTAGTTTCTCATCGCGCTAGGAAATAGTCAGACTAAATGACAGCATGTTGTTATGGAGTCTTTGGCAGACAAATCAGCAGATACCGATACTTTTAGCAATGACACAGTCAGTCATAACAGTGTTCTCAACAAAGATGCTATGCTTGACTACATGATCAATTGACTCGACAGTAATGCCTAGCATAGGTCCAATGCCACCATCTCTGACCACGAATCCCCTATGGTCAGTGATGAGGGACTGTTTTTGCTTTAGGTGAAACAGAGACAGGTGGTCAGCTTAGAACTTTATATTAGTGAATTTTATTTAAAGCAGTATTTGCTTGCAAGATCCGAATTACATTTATTTTGCAAATAATTCCCACCTGACGCCAAACTCGTTGCCGCACAGAAGAAGACGGCTGTTCTTGAACCCAGGTACATGTACCACGCCACACAGAACAGGGCAGCTACCTCGAGCACCAGACCCACCGTCTCGAGCACCTGCACTCCTTCGAACCATCCTGCAAGTACAGTGTCAAGGCCGCGTTAATGTCAGCGCCGTGAAACTACACCATGAAATACAGAATTGTATGGAATGTGATTACATAAATAGCTTTGATGTGCGCCACTTATTCTGCACCTTTAACGAACCTGGGTAGTTGAAGAAAACAGGGTTGACTCCTAGATTTCAACCTATGCGACGTTTCGATACACGTGTCTTTACGACAATTCTCATTTGCCTAACGGATGGATTAGCCTGTAAGAGTAGGAAAAGTCGCATTGATTAATTAAACAAGTTGAATTCCACTTTTTCAAGAGACACTTGACAGGACTTCAAAGCAATGTTTGTAAGGTTTTGTTTAATCAGTCAGCGGGTATAAAGAAAACAGGGTTGACTCGTAGATTTCAACCTATGCGACGTTTCGATACGTGTGCCTTCACCACTCGCTTGAACTTTCGCTTTCGTGACAAATGGTTTGATCTGTAGGGAAACACTGCCATATAACACTGCCACATAACACTGATGACTTCGTATAACCCATGCTTGTCGTAAGAGGCGAGTAACAAGATGGGGTGGTCAGGCTCGCTGACTTGGTTGACACATGTCATCGGTTCCCAATTGCGTAGATCCATGCTCATGATGTTGATCACTGAATTGTCTGGTCCAGACTCGATTATTTACAGACCGCCGTCATATAGCAAGTAAATTGCTGAGTGCGGTTTAAAACAACAAAACAACAACCAACAACCTATTTAGACGCTGGGTTTCTAATACACAACCATCTGACAGAAACTCGTAATTGATAGACGCCGGGATGTCTTAGAGGAAACAGGGTACGTTTCGGATGATTTTGGCCACGACTAAGGCGAAGTCCTAGGTCGTAACCCTGACCTGTTGGATGATAAGATGACAACATAAAACGAATGCATATCGTTCGTATGCACACCATGACGCTTATATAATTCCCAGGGGCATGTTCGGTAATTTCTTCATTGAAAGAAAATATCATAGATGTAAAATAAAACATTATAATATTTGCTAAAATTCATTTTAATTTTTTTCGACCCCCTTTGTGATCGAAATTTTGATTGCCATCTCTGTCTAACACCAATATTAGGACAAGGCAGGAACGTTCCTAAGTCAACTGCTCCCTTCCTACAGATTCAGAGCACAGACATCACTGCAGATTCAGTGCAGAGACAAATTTGTCGACATCACTGCAGATTCAGTGCAGAGACATCACTGCAGATTCAGTGCAGAGACAAATTTGTCGACATCACTGCAGATTCAGAGCACAGACATCACTGCAGATTCAGTGCAGAGACAAATTTGTCGACATCACTGCAGATTCAGTGCAGAGACAAATTTGTCGACATCACTGCAGATTCAGTGCAGAGACAAATTTGTCGTTACACTGCAGATTCAGTGCAGAGACAAATTTGTCGACATCACTGCAGATTCAGTGCAGAGACAAATTTGTCGACATCACTGCAGATTCAGTGCAGAGACATCACTGCAGATTCAGTGCAGAGACAAATTTGTCGACATCACTGCAGATTCAGAGCACAGACATCACTGCAGATTCAGTGCAGAGACAAATTTGTCGACATCACTGCAGATTCAGTGCAGAGACAAATTTGTCGACATCACTGCAGATTCAGTGCAGAGACATCACTGCAGATTCAGTGCAGAGACAAATTTGTCGACATCACTGCAGATTCAGTGCAGAGACATCACTGCAGATTCAGTGCAGAGACAAATTTGTCGACATCACTGCAGATTCAGTGCAGAGACATCACTGCAGATTCAGTGCAGAGACAAATTTGTCGACATCACTGCAGATTCAGTGCAGAGACATCACTGCAGATTCAGTGCAGAGACAAATTTGTCGACATCACTGCAGATTCAGTGCAGAGACATCACTGCAGATTCAGTGCAGAGACAAATTTGTCGACATCACTGCAGATTCAGAGCACAGACATCACTGCAGATTCAGTGCAGAGACAAATTTGTCGACATCACTGCAGATTCAGTGCAGAGACAAATTTGTCGACATCACTGCAGATTCAGTGCAGAGACATCACTGCAGATTCAGTGCAGAGACAAATTTGTCGACATCACTGCAGATTCAGAGCACAGACATCACTGCAGATTCAGTGCAGAGACAAATTTGTCGACATCACTGCAGATTCAGTGCAGAGACAAATTTGTCGACATCACTGCAGATTCAGTGCAGAGACATCACTGCAGATTCAGTGCAGAGACAAATTTGTCGACATCACTGCAGATTCAGAGCACAGACATCACTGCAGATTCAGTGCAGAGACAAATTTGTCGACATCACTGCAGATTCAGTGCAGAGACAAATTTGTCGACATCACTGCAGATTCAGTGCAGAGACAAATTTGTCGACATCACTGCAGATTCAGTGCAGAGACAAATTTGTCGACATCACTGCAGATTCAGTGCAGAGACAAATTTGTCGACATCACTGCAGATTCAGTGCAGTGACAAATTTGTCGACATCACTGCAGATTCAGTGCAGAGACAAATTTGTCGACATCACTGCAGATTCAGTGCAGTGACAAATTTGTCGACATCACTGCAGATTCAGTGCAGTGACAAATTTGTCGACATCACTGCAGATTCAGTGCAGTGACAAATTTGTCGACATCACTGCAGATTCAGAGCACAGACACTTGACCACAACAGCTTACCGAACTGAATTCCATTACAGAACATTCACTATTAAGCAAGATGTACGCGAACGATTGCGTCAGCGCAACAACTGTCCCCTTTCAGTCACATCATAAACTGACATACAGAAAAATGGAGACTATAATGTGTCACCCAAGGACCTGTATATTGTGGCTCCATTGGAAATAACATTGTACCTGCAGACTTAGTTCGAGTAAATCTACAAGGTAATGCTGCAATATATCGTAGATCGGCTTTGTCATCTTGTTTCACATAACTTGTCAGATGAACATTGAGAGACACTGGCATGGGAGACGACAAACCGCCAGATTGAAACATTGGGTTTAGAAACATTTATATTTTGGATTTGAATTATTTACTTGGGCGGGTTGGGATTAACAGTTTGTTGGAAAATATATATTCAGGAGTCGTTTCACTATTTCTACACATATAGCACAAACAAGGAGAGATGGCATACCCTGCTGATTCGCAACAATGACTTCTAGCTGCAATTTCTCTAGAAATGACGTGGCGAGTCAAAACAGTACATATTTGCATGAGGGTAAAATCCGAACATATATCGTAGGACACATACTGGAAGGTTATTTTTCAAATTCCTTCGGAAAACCGAGTGTTTTAAACCCATGTTTTGAGCTAGTCAATATTAGGAATACATGTATAATAATCTTGAGCATCAGAAATATTTGTTCCAGTTGTAACTACCTGTGGCCCCTTTTCATAATGCTCTAAAATAACAACCGTACTTGTGAGTATCTGTGCGGTTCAAGAAAGCGCCGTCAAAGCACTCTTATGGTCATGGTATACAAACCTAAATCGCGGGATTTTAAATGTATATACGGTATCTACTTTACAGAGGGATTCCAAACACAGTAGTTTCATGGTCGCGCAAGCACAGAAACACATTATCAAACACTGGTTCCCTACGGAGGGACATTGTCGCACTGTTGCCTTTACAAAAAGTCTCCAAATTTACAGAAGCGCGACAATGAAACAACGCATCAGGACAACAATGCCACAAATAATCAAACTCATTTATATTGGGTCCTTTAATTTAGCTGTGATATTTGGTGTGTAATATGTTAGACAATATATTTATATACTTTTATTCAGGAAGTATCGCTGCTGACACATATCATCGTATCAGAATTACGTAGATCGATGCTCACGTTGTCAATCACTGGATTGTCCGGTCCAGACTTGATTACGTACAGAACGTCGTCAAAAGTTGGGAAATTGTTGAATGCCGTGTTAAAAAAAATCAAATAAACATATATAGCAGTATACCTTCATAGCACCAGAAGGGCGGCCATGAGGTTACAGCGTTAGCTCATCACGCCGAAGATCCGAGTTTGACTCCCCAAATTTGTACAATATTTCTGGCGTCCCCATACCGTGCTATTACTGGACTATTGCTAAAAGCGGCGAAAAAAACATACTCACCCACTCAGAGCATCGGAGGTGAGTCAGTATCATAACAACGAATGAAAAGTGAAAATCTTACCCGGCTGATCATAAAGGTATTCACATCCCAACAGTTCCACTCCGCAGACTTTCCATAATCCTTTGTTAGCTTTTCCCTCTGCTGTGTCTACTTCAGTCCAATCAGGGACGCTGAATCCAGTTATGTGGAATATAATTCCGACGCCCAAAACAATCAGCCCAATTTTCGAATACCGTGACCCAGATAAACTTCGCGACAGCGCCATCTTGTGTATCGGATTCACACCAACGCTCGAAACGTGCATTTAATCACCTCCGGTTTGTACCCATGTGCGCCACACCACTTCCGGTTAAATTTGAAAGTCACGATTCCGTTGATACATGGAGGAAGCGTTTAAAAACTGTTTATATGAATCCGTTCCAAACCGTTGTTGTTTCACAGATTCTTTGAGTGATTATCAGCTACATTTTACCAGTAGATGAGGATCTTTCGATGTTATGTACATGCATCCCTGTAGCAACCTGAAGACAAGAACAGGTCATCATCATAATACATATTAATACCTATCCATTTCAAGTTGAACAAAACTTGTTATAAGTCAAATAGGCAAGTGAAAACACAAACGTGATACTGCATACCAATATTACGTCTGTCAGAAAGTCGTCACGCCGAAGACCCGGGTTCGAATCCCCACATGGGCACAATGTGTGAAGCCCATTTCTGGTGTCCCCCGCCGTGATATTGCTGGAATATTTCTAAAAGCGGCGTAAAACCATGCTCACTCACTCACTGTCAGAAAGATTTATAAGTTTGTATAACCCTACTTTATCTATATTTCCGCTACAGCCAATTTGAAGTCAGATTTCCTGGAACTCATTCATACGAAAGCGGAAGGCAAGTCAAGGGTCAGCGTAACTTTCACTCATACTGCACTGTAGTTACATATAACCTATAATTATCACTGTATTTTGAAACATTATAAAAACAAATCTTTAGGTATCTAGCATAGAGGTCATGTCGGCTCAGTAGTGTAAGACCTGTCAGAAACCCGTGATCATGGGTTCAATCCCAGATCTCACTTAACTCGTGGGTTGCACCGAAGAGATAAGCATTTAGGCCTGCGTAACCTCGACTCTCTTCCCAAATACGCGCTCAAATCGGCGTTCATCCTTATTAATTCGCGTAACATCACGAAAGTAAAATTTAATGTCTTTAATACTCCACTTACCACCGACTGATCTTCTCTCTCCACCGTCTAGGATGTAGACTGCCAACGAGGTAGTGCACATCCAGACACCATATACGTGCTTAAGGAAAAAGGTCAGATGATTTGCGATGATATGAAACCGATATCGACAACGTATTGTTATCACATGATCGACCCGAGGCCGTTAGTCAAGGTCCCTGTCTGTACTTACTTGTGTGACCTGATACACTAATCTTTCTATAATATGGCCTACACTGGAATGTGTAATCACCGTTATATAGAACACCTCATTACCGTTCTCTCTGTCACAACCGTTCTCTCTGTCACAACCGTCCACAGTTCTCTTCCCGTCAGCCTACGCCCGGCCCGCGATCACGCAATGTGTCTATTGTAAGCGTGAGTAACGCGGATGTGTTCCGTTGTAATAACCCAGTCTACTAGTGAGTGTATTGACACGTGTAGAAGGATGTAATGACCAGTTATAGCGCTGGCTCTGTGTAGAAACACAGACATGACACTGCTAACGATATGCCAAGTTTTCCTTGTTTAAATTATGTTTCCTACTCAATTGTTGTAGTGGTGGTCCGATTAACTGAAATAATCGAAGATTGGTCGCAGTGACTAAACGACCAAGCAGTCGATCATGTTTTCTCGTAATCGAACACAAACAATTCTGAAACACTTTTAGCATTAACAATATTTTTCACAAGGTTGGTTTTGTCAGTTACATTTCATAAGCACTAAAAGCTTGTTCCAAGTCATGATTGAATTTATCTTAAAGACATCAGGAAATTTATGTTCCTAACATACCAGTCATCCTTTCAAAATGTGAAAATTGCCCAAAAAAACCCAAAGAACTACATGTTTTTTTCTTTATGTTTTTGTGCATTAACAAAAATAACCAGGAAATATTCATAAATGACCCTAACCAATTATTTTCGATGATTGATCGGTTGTAATGAAGCAATCATCAATTGTGAGATTTTAACCAATTCCCAACACTAAATTGTTGTTTTCAAATCTCTTCTTACAATCCCACGAGAGAGAAGACTACGGTGTTTCTTTGTGAATGTGTGAGTGAGTGAGGTTGTATGGCGTTTTTAGCAATATTCGAACATGATAGTGGGGATTGTGTGGTTGTGTTGCATTGTGTCCCTGGTGTTCATTCTGTCAGTCACTAGTTCAACCGGGCCCCGATCCACAAAACGTTCGTAGCGCTACGACATTCGTAAGCCTTTGATAAGCTATAGAGTTACGACAGGTCGGGACCTTGGCCTAGGTAGTTAATAGCCACAGAGATACAGCACACAGTGTCAGTACGGTTTCCTTGGCCGAGGTAACGTGATGTCCGATGTAATTCCATGTTTTGACTTTTACTACGTGTCCCGTATTTGTTCAGATGGACACATGTCATGCCTGCGCAGACACACACACACACACACACACACACACACACTCACTCGCACGCCCGCACGCACGCACACAACATACACACATACACATACATACGTACATACACATACGTACATACATACATACATACATACATACATACATACATACATACGTACATGCTATTGATATTGTCGGAATTGTACAACTGACTGTTTTTTTCCCACATTTTTGTAGATATGGAAAGTAGTGGTATTGTTGTTTTTGTTGTTGTTGTTGTTCGTGCATCTAGTTGGGTGAATTAAGGGAAATGTATATTATTACCTGCTTGTTTCCGCATCATAAATGTGTCAAGACACCTGTTTAATTGATTAATGCGAAAACACACGAGGGATATGCTCTCTTTATCATACAATATTATTCTACGGTTAGTACGTGATAATATTTAGAACACCCAGTGAGTGAGTGAGTGAGTGAGTGAGTGAGTTTAGTTTTACGCCACACTCAGCAATATTCCAGCTATATGGCAGCGGTCTGTAAATAATCGAGTCTGGACCAGACAATCCCGTGATCAACACCATGAGCATCGATCTGCGCAATTTGGAACCGATGACATGTGTCAACCAAGTAAGAACATCCAGCTGATCCACAGCAACATAAAGTTAGAAACGGATTGGGGATTGGGGATTCGAATCCCGAATCTGATTTTTTTTGACATTCGGGATTCCAATCCCGAATCTAATCATTTTTTCATATTCGGGTTTTACTTTGGCACATTCGGCACTCGGCATTGGGCATTGGGCATTGGGTATTTGGTATTTGAGCTCTTATTATGCATTTCTTCAACACATCTGGGATTCGGAACTACAGCGTCGTTGTAACTATACTCTTTGCACCTTCATCTGTCAAACGTATCTATCCTCGACGCAGGCGTGCAGATAGTCAACGGTCCTGAAGCTCTTCCCTACTTGCAGGCGTCAACCCTCGATCACGATCGAGCAAAGACGAACAATGTCAATATTCATCAGTTCATCCCCTTCTAATGTACTAGCTGCTCGTTGTATACCTGGGTAAATTAAAAACACAAACAACCAAACTACAGTTTCCGATATTTGAACCTCAAATCTGAGTTTTCTCAACATTCAGGTTTCGGGATTCGAATCCCAAATCTGAAGGTTTTTTCATATTCGGTTTTTCTTTAGCACATTCGGCACTCGGCATTCGTATTTGTACTCTTATTATGCATTTCATTAACACATTTGGTGAGCGAGTGAGTGAGTTTAGTTTTACGCCGCACTCAGCAATATGCCAGCTATATGGCGGCGGTCTGTAAATAATCGAGTCTGGACCAGACAATCCAGTGATCCAATCACTTGTTTGAATCTATTGGTTCTTTCGGGATGTATGCTGTATCAAAGTGCATTACCCCTGATGACAGAACTGAGCGAGGGGGCCACAAGTACCATCTATCTTTTTCGGTCGATATGTCTCAAATGTCCGATCCCTTGTAATCCAGAATCTAAAGTATTTACAGTCCGTAATCCAACACTCTCTGAACCGGAACATATAATGTTAGCTTGTCAGTGTAGTTCAGTGAGTGAGTGAGTTGGGTTTTACGCCGCTTTTAGCAATATTCCAGCAATATCACGACGGGAGACACCAGGAATAGGCTTCACACATTGTACCCATGTGGGGAATCGAACCCGGGCCTTCGGCGTGACGAGCGAACGCTTTAACCACAATGCTACCCCAAAGCCCATGTGTAGTTCAGACAGACATCACGGCAATTCCCCAGCTATGTGACGGCGCTCAGTATATAATATGGACCAGACAATCCAATGGATTACATCATGAGTATCGATCTGCGCAACTACTATATGATGACGTGTATCAACCATGCAAGTCAACGAGTCTGACCACCCGATCCCGTTAGTCGCCGCGTATGAGCATGAACTGCTGAAGTCAAGTTCTAACCCGAGTCTTCACAGGTCGCCTCATACTGGACATATATTTATTGACTTGTCACGTGACATGCAGCACATTTGATAAATCGAATCTATGTTCACCATAATTTTTAAAAAATATCCAGATTCCATCACGACTGATGCACAGTGGCGAGGTGTGGACACGACATGTAGTGTAACACATTCTGTTTTTCACTTTCACACAATTTCTTAAATTTCCGTTCTAGTGCTGTGTATGTACACTATTTCCAATTGTGTTGTAATCTGTTCATAAAAAATTTGACCTATTTATGCATCCATATGTAATTGTTTTAAGAAAGCATTTATTTGTTTCGTCAAAGTACTTGATGTATCCATCCCTAATATGTACAAATTGTCCATACAGTGTAGTGAAGTATAGTTTCTACTAGTTTTACAGGGGGTTGGTGTTGGGTCGGTGGGGTAGCCTAATGGTTAAAGTGTCCTCTCCTCACGCTGAAGACCAGAGTTCGATTCCCCACAAGGATACAGTGTGTGAAGCCCATTTCTGGTGTCCCCCGCCGTGATATTACTGGAGTATTACTAAGAGCCACGTAAAACCATACTCACTCACCCTTGTATAGGTGACTATTGTGTTTGCAAATACTAAAAGCGACAAAATCATTTCCATATTCATAAAATTCTCCACAGCGGAGATTCCATTGTACCATGCCCTGTTTTTATCAAACAAACGCTCTAAAACCCTCTCCACATCCAGGAGGAGAGGATAAAGTGAGTGAGTTTAATTTTACGCCGCTTTTAGTAATATTCCAACTAGAAATGGCTTCACATATTGTCAGGCAGCTTGACAACGGTACTCAGTTTGACAACGGCACACGAATCTGTATCGAAAGTTGTTATCCATAAAGATTGTCCACATTGTATTTCCCTAATTCTAAAATGCCACTCAAAGAAGAAGGCAAACCCCTTTCCTCACCTATAATTTGGTCGGTTTGTTGTTTAACGCTGCACTCAGCAATATCCCAGCTATTTGGCAGCGGTCTGTAAATAATCGAGTCTGGATCGGACAATCCAGTGATCAACAGCATGAGCATGGATCTACGCACTTGGGATACGAAGACATGTGTCAACCAAGTCAGCGAGCCTGACCACCCGATCCCGTTAGTCGACTCTTACGACAAGCATGGGTTACGGAAGACCAATTCTAACCCGGATCTTTACGGGTATCCCAACCAGTAAGAAGAGTTGACTGTAAGGTTTCGACTACATCATGTGCATGTGTTTAGGAATCACTATCCGATAATATCATATGATTCCTAATCTCTGAAATTGTACGTGTGAATGACATAGGGTCACACTCACCTGAACAACATTGTGCATGTACATTTTAACACATGAAGTGGACGTCCACTAACTCATGCAAGTATTGAGAAATTCAAACGCACCAAAGGCAATTTCATGCTTTTTAATTCAGGTTGCAAGTGACGCGATTTCGAGAATTCGACTTGGTATCCTGAAAAAAAGGAAAACATATTATAAGGACATTCCATACAAAAAACGTGGTAATGAAGGGTACATGCAATTATATTTACTTAACACCGACACTTCATTACTTGCAAAGTCTCTCTCGCGCTTATCACCACGGCAGAATTACTATCATTACGCAGCAGGCATGTCTGAAGATTCAACAGCGGCAAAATTTGACGCCATTTTGAAAAGGCTTGACAGTCAACGAGATTTTGAAACTGTTTTTGACGAAAAGGTATCTCATATGAGAGAAGAATTCATCGATCAGGCTAAAGGGTTGAAGAAGCTGAAGACTGGTACAGAACATTCCTGGTCTCGAGAAGGAAACAGAATTCAGTTTAATGTGAACTCAGAAGTTTTGGAGGATTTATACAAAGCAAGGCAAGCTAAACATGGTGTGAATTGAGACGATACCTCCCGTTATATTGAAGTGGCCATAGCTAAACTAGAGAAGAGAAACAAGTTGATTAAAATCGCGGACTCATCGGAAAGGGGCTGGGAGACTACGTTTCTCTCTGCTCATGTCGACACTGCGACCAGGCCAATATTCATTTTGATGTTTCTTGTTGGTGCATCATTGCATGGTGTGTACAGGAAAACAACATATATTTTGTGACTCGGGTATGCCCTGATTTCATCAAATTTATTTTCAGATCCACGTTTTCAGTTGTTTCGTGTATAGTTCTCTCGGGGCAAATATGTCTTCAGTATTCCTTTTGTTTGATGCATTCCCAGTATTTCAGCAAATAATAGTCTAGACTATGCCGTTGATTGATAAAATAATTCCCAATCCACGTTTTCAGAGTTCGATGACAAGCAGTTACCGATGCTGACCACTCTTTTAAAAACATGAGGGCCGTGGTTGTGGGTTAGACTCCCGATATCATCTGATTGTGGTCGTAGGTTTCAAGTCAAGTCAAGTCTTTATTCATGTGGATGTAGGCCACCGGCCCATGGTACAACGTTATACATTGGCAGCCTTCAAGCTGTAGCGACGACGATTGTTAGCATAGAAGATAAACATGGCAAGATTTCTTAAAACAAGAGGAGTAGCATTACTCATCAGTCGATTAAATTTACACAAGGTTGGATGGGTGAAAACATCGACAGGGATAAAACGTTTACGTAGATCATCATAGGCAGTACAAATCAGTAAAAAGTGGTACTCATTTTCTACATAGTTACAGGAACACATTTGAAAACACACTACCCGTTCTCCTGGGTTCTCTTACACCAATTTGCCGAGATAGAATAAAGAGCAGCGTTGAACAAAACTCACTTACTTGCATGTCTGTGGAACAGCGTGGTTTTCCTACTCTTGTTTCTCTGCGGCCTCAAGTTCGTTACAGTATTTAATGTGACTGACTGCAAGCTGCAAACAGGTCACACAGGAAACATAAAACAATATTCCCAAATTCATATATACAACATTCCAACAACGTTAATTCTTTTGATCATTGTTTATTGCTTAATGTTCCTATCAGCAATATTCGAGCTGCAATTGTCGCCTTGGTGTGGGTGGCGCAGTAAACATTGGCGTTAACAAATTCATTAAATGGCAAATATAAATACATATGATGCCTACATATCTATTCCCGAATGTTAAGGAAGTTCGGTTGAGATAAACTACCAACCAATGCATTTTACTGTTTTCAGATGGTAACGGAAATATATCAGCAAAAAACTTTGTCGTCAACCTACAATTTGCAGGATAGTTTCCACTGCCTTATCGTTGTTATTCTCGTTCTGAAAAGAACAAGGACAGTGATGTAAGGAAATCAACGCGATTTTTTCAACGAACTGCGATAAGCCAGGCCTAATGTTGATATATTTTGGTCTACGTGAATACCAATGTCAGACAAGGTTAAAAAACAATATTCCTGTATTATTACAATTTTCCCATTCGTATCTCTAAAGCTTCTTTCATAGTTCAGTGTGAAACGTATTTGTGTTTCATTGTTGTCTAAAGAGGCACTCAGTAATATATACCAATTAAGTACTAAGTCAGTACAAGACAGAAATCGACCTTTAATTACTTACTGGAGAAAAAGTTTCGATCTGACCACCCAGGAACAGTTCGTCCCCAAACATCTGGTAATGCCTACTTATGGGAAGTGCCAACCGAACGCAGGACAAACTCCCGCTAGCTGGCAATCTCCAGGGAATTATCACCATTGTTTTTTCTAAACTATGGAAAACACGAGCAGCATACTAATTAATTAACCAACTGGGGAGATGTAGTACGAAAAACATAAGCTATCCAAAGGTACCAATAAACATTAAAAACAATTCGCAAGTTGGACAAAATAGCTATTAATAACATGAGAAATATATACACAGTATTAGAAAACCATCTCCAATAATTATAAACATGTACAGGCTTGTCAATACATATAGGATGACCTATAGCAACCAATATTCCCTTATCAGTATATAGATGTATATAGATGTCGTGCTGTGCCGAAGTCGGCCGAGCTGCACCGAAGCATTTGTAACTACTTGCCTCTTTCCGTGACCTACAAGAAGACTCGTACCGATATAGTACGCCATTATTGCCAAGAATCGTGGCAAACCAATCAAACCGCGCGTAGTAAAACGTGAATGAGGGCAAAAAGTTTCTTTGCGATTATCGATTTTCATTATCATTTCCGTGATTATAAAACTCTGTTACTGATATTTGTTAACGACATAAGAAACATGACGTTCGTATTGTATTAACAATTTCTAGGAGTGGCCATCTTTGGAAATTCAGAGTTATCTTTCCTTGGAAATAGTCCTAGACTATTTTCACCTCCGTGTCCGTTTGCGCTTTGACAAGGCCCAGTCGTGAACATGGCCACGAGAGGGGTACGAGTCGCCATCCAGCTTGCCGGAATGACACGAGTAGTTAAGAATGGCGCCGAAGTAGGCCGAGTTGTACCGAAGTGCAGCGATGAACAGGATGCACCGTGATGATGATAATAATGGATTTGTATAACGCCTGGTTTCACCATACGGCGCTCAACGGCGCTGAAATCACAATCTGATTATGATAACACAAGCTGCCTATGAGCGGCAAGAAGGTTATTAGGAACAGGACTTATCCAACCGGGTACCCTTTTTCTGCTGGGTGAACAGAAGCAACTTGCCTAAGGTGAGACCACAGGTATCACAAGTGCTTCGTTGTTGGCAAGACTGGTCCGAGAAACTCTCAGGAGTCAAGCTGCCAAACACAGTTACCCACCCAAGGACTCTCCGCGGCTAACGTTGCTTAACTTCAGCTGATTGTGACTGAGTTCTGTGCAGATGACCACACACCACCACCCAGTTTTACGACCAAATGACGTCATGTGAACCTATACAACTGTACACACACCTGTCAATCTGAAAGTGAAAAAGTGATGGAAGGTGGAGGTGAGGTGCAATTGAGTTTAATGTCGTGCTTGAGAATATTTCGCTCATTTTACGACGTGCGTGCGTGTGTATGTGTATGTGCGGCTGCTTGTACTAGCCCAGACTGAAGCTGGTTTTATAGTGCTAGCCCACTGAGATACCATGCCGCAGTGAAGCATGAATACCCCACTCAGACACGTTATACTGACTCCGAGCCGACCAGTCCTTGTTGCACCCATTAATGCCGAGCGCCAGGCAGGGACCAACGTCTTTTGGTATGACGCGTTCGGGGATCGAACCCGCGACCTTCCGCTCTCCGGGCGGACGCTCTTACCACTACACCACGGAGGCGGCTGATGGAAGGTGGAAGATGTTTACCATTTTCTTAAACCCACCAGCATTGATGTGTTGATCCTGGACCAAGACTTCTAATTAACTTCCCATGAACTCACAAATGACAGCAGAGATTACATACGTTTTCCAAAGCGTCGAGTTTTTGCCAAAAAATATTAGGTTCAAAGCTGCAGTCCAGAAAACCGGAACGTCCAATTTGTTGACAGACACGTACATGCAAAGGTTCTTATGTTGGGTACTCACGTTTGCTGTGAAAAAATGACATAAATTATTGTACGCACACGCTCACGCAAACACACGTGCACATACACATATTGACCTACATTAATACAATTTCTCGACCCTATAAACTATCCTGTTGCTTGTTTGAGCAGCATTTTGGTTTGCTTAGCTGCTTGTCATAGTTACTACATCATACATCAACCAGCACATGCTGACAAACTTTATGAATAACAACTTCCTTCATTTCGTAAGTCCAATGTTTCGATACAGAATCTTATACCGTTGTCAAGCAGGAATAAACATCGGTGCAAACAAGAATCTGTATCGAAACGTCGCACTCACGAAATAAAAGTTGTTAACCATAAAGTTTGTCAACTTCTAAAATGCCACTCAAAGATGTTGATTTCAAAAGTGCACATGTTAAGAACTTTAATAAAGGTACGATACATTTATGGATAACACCTTCTTATTATATTTATCATAAAGGTATCGTACCTTTAACTTATTATTCACCAACTTCTGAAATGCCAATCAAACGGATCATGTTTAGAACCTAATGTACTCACATGCACATAGGAAACAGGCAAAGATTTCATATTTAGATCTTTGCATGACAATTCAGAGTGATGACAAAATATACGTTCATGTTCAAGCTGCACAGAGTTATTGGTAATACCTTACACAATTCGTTGTTATTACTAACAATGCTTATAGTTATTATTATTTTTAATAATGGTAATTTTCATGGCTTGATATATATGATATCGATGCCGTCCGAATACGCTAAATGTCACATGTAGATATACTCATGCCAATAATGGTTGTCACCCCCTTCATTTTGTTTAATTGGAGAGGGAGTGTGGGGTGGGGGTGTGAGGTGTGTGTGGGTTTCGGGTGGGGAGGGGGGTGACAACCATTATTGGCATGGGTATATATCCGAGATATGTGGAAATTTATAATGCATAATCTGTTTTCACTTGTAAAACAAGTTAATAAATTTAAAGGCTCCTTACCTCTGAGTGCGTTCACTGAATCCGTCAGGGTCTTTTCAGCATCGGAATACTGCAACCGAATAGAAAATGCTTCATTGTTAGAATATTTAGTTTGCCACGCTACAGTAGTGATTGCACTGTTTGTAACAATCAACAATATTAAATAGTACAGTAGTGATTGTACTGCTGGTTTCAATCACCAACACTAAATAGTACAGTAGTGATTGTACTGCTGGTTTCAATCACCAACACTAAATGGTACAGTAGTCATTGTACTGCTGGTTTCACTCAACAATACTAAATGGTACAGTAGTGATTGCACTGCTGTTTTCAATCACCAACACTAAATGGTACAGTAGTGATTGTACTGCTGGTTTCAATCACCAACACTAAATGGTACAGTAGTGATTGCACTGCTGGTTTCAATCACCAACACTAAATGGTACAGTAGTGATTGCACTGCTGGTTTCAATCACCAACACTAAATGGTACAGTAGTGATTGTACTGCTGGTTTCACTCAACAACACTAAATGGTACAGTAGTGATTGCACTGCTGTTTCCAATCACCAACACTAACTGCTGTTTTCAATCACCAACACAAAATGGTACAGTAGTAATTGCACTGCTTGTTACAATCAACAATACTAAATGGTACAGTAGTCATTGTACTGCTGGTTTCAATCAGCAAGTACTAAATGGTACAGTAGTGATTGTACTGCTGGTTTCAATCAACAAGTACTAAATGGTACAGTAGTAATTGCACTGCTTGTTACAATCAACAATACTAAATGGTACAGTAGTGATTGCACTGCTTGTTACAATCAACAATACTAAATGGTACAGTAGTGATTGCACTGCTTGTTACAATCAACAATACTAAATGGTACAGTAGTGATTGCACTGCTTGTTTCAATCAGCAAGTACTAAATGGTACAATAGTAATTGCACTGCTTGTTACAATCAACAATACTAAATGGTACAGTAGTGATTGCACTGCTTGTTACAATCAACAAGTACTAAATGGTACAGTAGTGATTGCACTGCTTGTTACAATCAACAAGTACTAAATGGTACAGTAGTGATTGCACTGCTTGTTACAATCAACAATACTAAATGGTACAGTAGTGATTGCACTGCTTGTTACAATCAACAACACTAAATGGTACAGTAGTGATTGCACTGCTTGTTACAATCAACAATACTAAATGGTACAGTAGTGATTGCACTGCTGGTTTCAATCAACAAGTACTAAATGGTACAGTAGTGATTGCACTCCTTGTTACAATCAACAATACTAAATGGTACAGTAGTGATTGCACTGCTTGTTACAATCAACAATACTAAATGGTACAGTAGTGATTGCACTGCTCGTTACAATCAGCAAGTACTAAATGGTACAGTAGTGATTGCACTGCTTGTTACAATCAACAATACTAAATGGTACAGTAGTGATTGCACTGCTTGTTACAATCAACAATACTAAATGGTACAGTAGTGATTGCACTGCTTGTTACAATCAACAACACTAAATGGTACAGTAGTGATTGCACTCCTTGTTACAATCAACAATACTAAATGGTACAGTAGTGATTGCACTGCTTGTTACAATCAACAATACTAAATGGTACAGTAGTGATTGCACTGCTTGTTACAATCAACAATACTAAATGGTACAGTAGTGATTGCACTGCTTGTTACAATCAACAATACTAAATGGTACAGTAGTGATTGCACTGCTTGTTACAATCAACAATACTAAATAGTACAGTAGTGATTGTACTGCTGGTGTAACTGGTACAGTAGTGATTCAATCAACAAGTACTAAATGGTACAGTAGTGATTGCACTCCTTGTTACAATCAACAATACTAAATAGTACAGTAGTGATTGCACTGCTTGTTTCAATCAAATGCCAAACAATGAATACACCTTTTGGCCAAGTGATATTGCTTATAGTCTATTAGGTGTATAAACGGGTGTCAGATGGCCAAATTTTTCTACATTTTAAGTTAAACTGAAAGAATCAATGGGTACAGCGTACACATACAATGTGCATGAATCAGAACTTGATAATACTTTTTCCCTGAGAGACAAACACACAAAACTACTCAAGAAATTTAGATATTAAGATAGTAAGAAATTATGACAAATATGGAATAGTGAATTAAGATACTTATTGTAGTAATGTCAAATGCACTCACTCCCAGATCATCCATCGTTTTGCAAAAGTGGTCGATGGCGTCGTGGCCCTGCAAATATTAAATTGAAAATTTGAAAAATTAATTTGAAAATCAACAACAATTGTTAATTGAAAGTTAACATACGAAACAATCGTAGACATCTTAGTTTGTTTCTTTATTCTTTACAAATCTTTACAACCTGTCATTTTGGTTGACGCCAGTTCACATGACATGAAATTTACCCAGCAGCCCCACTTCCGTTATGCGCAGATTTTAATCAGAAACACAAATACCAGGTTTAGTCAAAATCAGAACTTGAGGGATTGACACCGCGAGAAACGTCCTATGTCGACGGCAAGCATTCGTGGATATTATTTTGTAAATAGAGATGAATCTAATAAACATGTAATTTGCATCCTAAACTTGGCTGAAGAGCGAATGAACTGATCTTACCTTGTCCGGTCCAATCACTGCCGCATCTTTGTTCTCTGCACTGTTCGCCTACAATGAGTGAGTGAATGAGTGAGTGAGGTTTTACGCCACTTTTAGCAACGTTCAAGCAAAATCATAGCGGGGGAGACCAGAAATGGACTTTGTAAACATTGTACCCATGTGGGGAATCGAACCCGGATCAGCCGATCAGACGCTTTAACCATTAGGCTAACCCACCGATCCACAAACGGAGAGGAATATTCTCACAACAACACCATTGGATAAAGAGACAATATATGGAAAGGAAACAGTTTAAGGTCCAACACTGTGTTTTAACATTTTTCAGAAATTTTTGGAAATTAACTTTTATTCAAGAACCGAATTTTTTACAGTAGTCTCTTAGCAGAGAAAAGGCATGATCTTAGATTCAAACATATACGAGTCACCTTTAGATTCAGGAAATCAAACATTAACTTTCATACAAACATATACAGAATATACGAAGAGGGTTTCGTCATGCTACAAACCATTGTAGATACGATGACACAGGCAAACGCCACAGCAACACATACGGTACTGAAATTCATTGTTTACAGTCTTGATTCGGCTGACTGAAAGTAAATATTTACATTTTAGGCACCGACCACTTGCTATTTTGGAAGGTATCTGGGATTTAATTTAAAGAACTGTCATCAATAAAAACAGTTATGAACTTTAGAGAAAAAAATCATATATAGGCCAATAGTTTCAATCTTAAATATGTGGTGTTTCAGCTGTATGAAAATTCTCCATTCACAATACACAACCCCAGCCTGTTATTTGAATATATCACCGTCACTGTTAACATGGACAACAAAGATACTACTCACGCTTTGCTAAGGATCACAAAAATTCACAACTTTACTTAAACGTAAATTTTTTAATTTGAAATTGTATCCATTTAAAACCTGGAAAAATAATAATATGGTAACCCCTCTTTAGGCCAAAAGTCACTTTATTCTAACCTTATGCACGTAACATGATTAACCATAAAAATGGTTTTCATGGCACCAATGAACCATTTTGCAAATCATGGAACGAGTCATTGCCAAGTACTCAACACCTGTCAATAGCAGGTATGGGATCCACAAGATGTAATGACAGTGAAACCTAGGATCCATGCTTACAATAAGCTTAAATATTTAAACCAAATTAGACCCCACATCATAGTTTTCTGTTGAATCCATGATTTGGTCCTTAGCAAAGCGTGAATAGTATATATGAAACAATTAATACGCCTTTTGCCCAAGTGATATTGCTGAGGAGAGTAAACGGGAATCATCCTTCGAAGTTCTTCTACAAAATTATTTAAGTTAAACTGAAGATAAGATATAACTTTATTATCCCGGAGGAATTTTTTTTTGGATCAAATACGGCCTCAAAATGAATATATAAAAAATTCACAAAAATATGCACAATAATTACATGCACAAAATAAATGCTGATGATTCCATACAATTAACCACGAAGGTAAAGCGGCTGAGTTAGTAGTTATCGCATGCATGATGACTATTCAAAACCATTTGTTACATTAATAACAAATACTGGATGGTACGAAGGACTGTGGAGCTGTGTTTGTTTTAAGGGAAGGTAATCGAAAGCGGCGTTCAGATGGAAGTAGTTCAAAATGGTTAGATAAAATTTATGAACTATCAATTTTAGCTGTTTTTTTGACAATCTGGCGCTCATAGACAAAGGGAATATACTCGAAAGACACTCCAGTAATTTTGCTGGCAGTATTAACATTTTTGAAAAGTTTGTTTTTGTTGCGAGCAGACAGACCCCATACCAACATAAACAAATTTAGGTCCCCACACTTTGAATAAGGGTTTGATAAAAAACGGTCATTAGGGTTTTGTCAACAGAAAAGTTTCTTAAGTGGCGAAGAAAATGAAGTCGTTGTTGGCCTTTTTGTTGTAAATGTGATCGATGTGTTTTGGAAATCTCAAATAACACCAAAATATTTGTAATTGCCCACTCTTTCAATTTCTGCATTATCAATTATAAGAGGATGTGGAGGTTCCTTATTTCTCTGAAAACCAACCACCACTTCCTTAGTTCTTTTTACATGCAGAAAAAGAAAATTGTCTTTACACCAAGATAGAACTTTTTCAATGCCTTGACGATAACTATGTTCAGAATCAGAAATAAGGCCAGTAACAGCGGCGTCATCTGCGATAGTCAAAGTAAACACGTCATTTAATGACAAGTAACAGTCATTGGTATACAAAATGAAGAGTAAGGGTGAAAGAACACATCCCTGTGGAGCTCCAGTAGAGATTGAGAGAAAAGAAGATTGATAGCCATTGACACTGACATACTGAGTTCTATGTACCGTGAACTCTTTAACCCATTTGATAATGTTTCCATTAACGCCTAGATTAAACAGTTTACTCATCAAAAGGTGTGGTTGGATGGTATTGAAGGTGGACGAAAAATAAATAAAGAGGATTCTTACATAGTTCTTACAAGTTTCCAGATGAGAGTAAATATTTTGCAGGAGGGTTAATGTTGCGCCCTACGTCCCAATCCCTGGTCTTTATGCAAACTATATAGAACAAACTTTATGGATAACAACTTCTTTTTTATTCGTGAGTGCGACGTTTCGATACAGATTCTTGTACCGTTGTCAAGCAGGAATTTCTGTACAAGAATCTGTATCGAAACGTCGCACTAACGAATAAAAATAAGTTGTTATCCATAAAGTTTGTTCTATATTGTACTTCCCAACTTCTAAAATGCCACTCAAAGAAGTTTATGCAAACTGTAAAGGATCTAGCAAATGACTTACATTATCAAGTAACAATGTTTTGATAACCCGTTCTAAACACTTCATCGCTATTGATGTCAAAGCAACTGGGCGATAGTCATTATTTACTTGGGGATTATTTCATTTCGGATCAGGAATGATATTGGAAGTTTTCCAGAGAGTGTGGATTACATCTGAATTAATTGACCATTGACACATCATCTGAAATATGACACATATCTGCTCTCCACATTCCTTCAAAACAATGCCAGGTAAGTTATCAGGGCCCCAAGATTTGCCTACTTTGTGTTGTTAAAATGACAACAGAACATCACTTATTGAAATTACTGAGTCACCAGAGGGTAGAAATGAATACATCTTATCAATATCGTTGGTAAAATCATGATAGTCAAATCTGGCATAAAACGAATTCAATTCATAAGCATTAACAAGTATATCTTGAACATCAACACACTGCTGTGTTTTGTTAATCCCAATTACAGACTTAAGTCCTTGCCAAGCATGTTTCAAATCGTTCGTGGTAAACATTTTCTTTCAATTTTACTTTTATATTCATTATTACATTTTGCATTAACTTTGTGAATATTACCTGAACAAAATGCTCGTTTCTTTTCATTCAATAAAGATTAAACTCCTTCATCAATCAATGGGGATAGCGTACCCATACAATGTGCATGAATTGGTATTTGGTATTTGAATACATCACTGTTTGAAATATTATAAAAATATTATGAATGTTAACTTCTTTATTCTATACACAACGTTTCTGAGCCCAGAAACGTTGTGTATAAAAGGGGCAAGAGAAAGCCAAGAAACGTTGTGTATAGAAGGGGCAAGAGAAAGCCCAGAAACGTTGTGTATAGAAGGGGCAAGAGAAAGCCCAGAAACGTTGTGTATAGAAGGGGCAAGAGAAAGCCCAGAAACGTTGTGTATAGAAGGGGCAAGAGAAAGCCCAGAAACGTTGTGAATAGAAGGGGCAAGAAAGCCCAGAAACGTTGTGTATAGAAGGGGCAAGAGAAAGCCCAGAAACGTTGTGTATAGAAGGGGCAAGAGAAAGCCCAGAAACGTTGTGTATAGAAGGGACAAGAGAAAGCCCAGAAACGTTGTGTATAGAAGGGGCAAGAGAAAGCCCAGAACCGTTGTGTATAGAAAGGGCAAGAGAAAGCCCAGAAACGTTGTGTACAGAAGGGGCAAGAGAAAGCCCAGAAACGTTGTGTATAGAAGGGGCAAGAGAAAGCCCAGTAAAGTTGTGTATAGAAGGGGCAAGAGAAAGCCCAGAAACGTTGTGTATAGAAGGGGCAAGAGAAAGCCCAGAAACGTTGTGTATAGAATAATGAAGAAGTTGACATCCATAATATTTTGTCTTATACTGGAATACCATTTCCTACATGCCTCTCAAGAACATCACTGTCTGAGCTAACATGGACAACATATTCATGCATATAGTTACCTCGTTCTCCCGGTCTGTCGTGTTAACAGCAAGAGTAAATGGTTCCTTTATATACATACCTGTTGACCGCCCAATGCAGATGTTGCCAGAGCAAATTGAACATGATTAAAGTTGTAATATTGGACAACAGTAAGTGGATACACACAGCACCTTGAAACTGACATATCGCCAATCCTTACACATATTACAATTACTAACACGTGTTTCTGTGGCCATATTTCATGGCTGTGTTGACAGACGTTATAGATAACAACTTCTTGTATTTCATTTCGATTCAGATTCTTGTACCGTTGTCCCCTTTATCGAAACGTCACACACACGAAATACAAAAAGCTGTATTCCAGAGAATTTGTCAATATTGTACTTCCCAACTTCTAAAATGCCAGTTAAAGAAGTAATGTTTCACGGCTCGTTATATCATGCCATCGATTTATTAACCCCCTCGTTTTTGTGTGGAAAAGACGTTAATTAATATAGGTTTCACTGGGAACATGGAAACCTCTTTTTAACCTATTAGAAACAACATTATTCAATGTCATGATGGAATAGCACATGCAACTACTGTGTGTTGATGTTTGATGTTTTCTTACAATAGCACAATTTGCTTTTGAAAAGGTAGGTTTTATCTCCCTCCAAGGTACGTCAATAACGAGTTCAAAACGGTACTCTCTTGGAGCGGAATGTTTGTTTGTTGTTTGTTTGTTGTATAACGCCGCACTCAGCAATATTCAAGTTATATGGCGGCGGTCTTTAAATGATGGAGTCTGGACTAGACAATCCAGTGGTCAACATCATGAGCATCTATCTACGCAATTTGGGTACGATGACATGATTAAAGTTGTAATATTGCATAACAGTAAGTGGATACACATAAACTGAAACTGACATCTTTATAGCAGCAGCTATGTCGCAGGGCTATAACGACAAACTTTATGGACCGTTGTCAAGCAAGAATCTGTATCCAAGTCAAAGTAAACACATATTTTAATTGTATGAAAGGCTTTCGACCCATATACATGAGGAATATTGTGATATTAACTGTATGTTGTAATTATTGATAAATAGTTTTCTGATTAGAGTAACGCTTTTAAGGTCTTGTAATATTCATATCGTGAGCTTGAATCTAAGATGGATTTCCATCCTTAATTCAACAAACCTATGGACCTAACACGAACTTCTGTATCGGAATGTCTCACCCATGAAATACAAGAAGCTGTTATCCAAAAAGGTTTGTTAATATCGTACTTCCCAACTTAGAAAATACCACTTAAAGAAGTTATGTTTCACAGTTCGTTGTATATACTCTTCCAAAAAAGAAACGCATGTTGTATTTTCACGAATTTAATCTGCTATTTTAAAGTGAGATCACACATGTCATTATGGTTCAGTTGCAGCCAAATGTCACAGAACAAAAGATCACATGTCTGTTAACATGTATAATAGCTTATAAAAGTTCAGTGAGTGAAGGCGTCCCTTCTCAGTTGGGTGTTGCCTTCAGTATCTGTTGTGGCCACCATGAGCTCCCACACTGCTCTGCGCCGTCTCGGCATGGACTGAACTGGTCTTTGAATTCGTCGACCTTGTGGAATTATATGCGCGGTTTTGCGAAAAAGGGATTAATCAATAGAGGTTTCACTAAACTTCGTTAACACCAATTAGAATCAAACAGTCTTCAATGCCGTGATATAATTAGCAGATAGAACTACTTGATATTTGTTTTTTTCTCACATTGGGACTATATGCATTTGTGACAGTATGTGCTAAGCTAACGTCATTAGTATTTTCAAAAGGGTACTTTCTTTGAAGCGAAACTACGAAGACGTGGGCACAAAGGTCTGCTTTCTTAAATCATTCCGAAAGGAGACACGTGTAGTTATAGAAACAAATCTTACTTAGGCTCAAAATGAAGATACTCCAAATCTTCACAAGTTCACATTCAGGAGTGTTTTAAAAAGAAGTTGACAAATAACCACCAAACTCAGCTCACAAATATGCCTATCGCTACCCGTTCCATAGATGCACTGTTTGGACTTCCCAATTTGATTTTTCGAAATAACATCTCCCATTGTATTAGATGACAGATTGCAGATATAGTGAAAAAAAGACAGAACACAATTTTCCAAAATCTAACTTTCTAATATTTGTGCACAACCTGTTGAATAGTGGGCTACTGTAGGCAATATAAATTCGAAATAGATCCTTCTCCTTACACATGGAGGTGTGTGGTCCTGTGCATAGAGCTCAGGTCACATATCAGATGAAGTTAAGCAACGATGGGCGCGGAGAGTCCTTGGATGGGTGACCGTGTGACAGCTTGACTCCTGAGAGTTTCTAGTACTTCAGTCCTGCCCAACAACGAAGCACATGTGATACATATGGTCTCACCTTAGGCAAGTGAGTTTGTTCAAAATTGCCTATCTTTACCCAACAGAAAATGTGTACCCGGTGAAATAAGTCGTGAGCCTATTAACCTTCTAGCCCCTGACAGACAGCTTGGGTTATACGGGATAATTATGATCAGGATATCTGGCCGGGAAAAGGCTCATTATATAGATGTGCATGAACATGATCAACATGGCGGCTACACATCACTACTGTCAATGGCTAGCAATGATGCTGGGCAGTCTTTGTGACGAGGACTTCGAACTCCGCTGTGGTTCAACATTAGCCTTGTCCGTCATTACTTTATAATGAAGGGCCAAGCTATTGGTAACAACATTTCTTACAAGTTGTAAACTCTTCGTTTTTGTTTTAAATATATACAACTGAATGTTTTACAAACTTTCTTAACAGTATGGAAAACACACCTGGCCGTTGAAATGTCATTATTACGTTCTTTAACGTCATATACATTCTGTTACAAATGACACATTTTTGTTCAAATTGTCAATAATGGAAATCTACCAACAACCTAATGTCAATTATTTGCACGTGCAGGTTGCTCTATCCATGGAAAGTGGACGACAATACACATACATTAATGTTTTTTCACCTCCATTCTCTGTTGAGTTACCTGTTTGAAATCGCAGCTTAAAATGAGATGTATTTTGACACTTGCTGAAAGGGGTCAGACTATAGGCCTTTTGGAATCTGGTCAAACTCAGCGACAGGTTGTTGTCCGGTTTAATGTGAGTCAGAGTGCTATTGGTAGACTGTGGCAGAGTTTCAAGCCAATGCATATGGGCCCGTGGAATATGCACGTCGACAAGGTCGACCCAGAGTCACCACAGTCCGTGATGATAGGCACCTGATTAACACCGCATTACGTAACAGCTTCACACAGGACACTTCAATGTTGACAATGTAAGGATAATCAGGAGCACCGTTCGTCGACGTTTAAGGGCAGCCGGACTCCGCTGTAGGCGACCTGCATCACAGATGCAACTGTGGCTACGCATAACCGATTTGGCGAGGGGTCGGTTACCGGGACGAGATTCTGGCTCCTATAGCTGTAGCATTCCTACAAGCTATGCATGGCTTTTATGATCAACCCTCTATAATGAAAGACGACAACGCTAGGCCTCATAGGGCCAGGATTGTCACGGAATTCCTTGGGCAGCAGGGTGGAGTGTCCAGCATGCTCGCCAGACCTCAACCCAATTGAGACTGCCTGGGATGAATTCGGTCGACGTGTATACACACGTCATCCAGCACCAGTGGATCTCCCGGGACTCCGCAGAGCTCTAGTAGAGGAATGGAATGCGATTCCGCAAGCTTTCTTTATGAACTTAATAAGGAGTATGAGAACAAGGTGCACCTGTGTCTTGGACGCACGAGGAGGGTACACAAGATATTGAATGACTTCACATTACGATGACACTGTTACTATTATTTCTGAGAAACCTTTCTTTACATGTGCTATATATCATTTGACCCTTTATTAATGACGCCTAGTACTATTTGCTTGGAATGAGTCTGCTGGTACAACATGATTGCCAATCGAAACACCAAATACAGCCGTTGTGGAGGCCAAGCTATTGACAAGCCGGTGAGGCAAGATAATTCACCCGCCCCTACCCCACCGCGACCCATCCTTTCCTGTCCTAAAATTCCCTCCTTATGACCCTGTCCTTATACCAGAACTGATACGCTCTATAGTGAAAGTATCCTGGGATGAAAATACTCCCAACCGAATAAAAATCAATCTCCCTTCGGATCAAATCCGTCACATGGACAAAATGCTTATATAGGTACCGGTATATAATATTTGTGTTTGGACACAATTTTTCTAATTTTAAAAGTGTTTTAAAATGCAACAGTAAAAATGACAACAGGCTTTACCACCGGGTTTAGTGTGAGTGGTATTCACGTGTTGATAAGTTGTATCTTCCTAACAAGAAATACGTTGCTTTCACACGGCGGAAAAATGTTTTTAAGTCAGATTTTAATTATTAATGCATTAATATAATCCATATTCATCAGCTATATAACCCTTTGAAGATACGGATTAGAATTGGTTTTCATTAAACCCATGCTTGTCGTAAGAGAGACTAACGGGATCGGGTGGTCAGGCTCGCTGACTTGGCTGACACATGTCATCGCATCTCAATTGCGTAGATCGATGCTCATGCTGTTGATCACTGGGTTGTCTGGTCTACACCGCCGCCATAGAGCTGGAATATTGCTGAGTGCGTCATTAAACAACAAAGAAACAAGGAAATAGTTTACTGATAACATATTTTTGGAAAATGGAGGAACTAATTTAGGGAAGATGCAAACATCACCATGTGTGCTCTAGTTTGAGCTGTTTTCTTAATGCAACGAAATGGAATTTTCCGCTCCGATTGGCAAAACCAAAACAAGGCATCTTTGTTAAGAAGCATAACTTAAATCGCATGTAAACTAAAAACTAATAATTTCGAATTTTCATAGATCCCTTTCGTCTATGTTTCTTTTCTTGAGAATCATGCACCTTTCATCAAACTGTCATAATTGTAAGCGATTATAACAGCAAACGATGAGGTTCAAGTACGTTTTAACAAGTAAAGTTAACATATGTCGCTCATTCCAAGCCCGTGGATGG